CCCCCCCCCTTTCTCTCTCTCTCTCTGTGTATGTTATGTGTGTGTTCGTTGACTACACATGACCTTGGGTAAACTCAAATTCTCTCTTTCATCTCGCTTGCCTTGGGCAGCTGAGCTGGCTTGGTAAGTCCTGTTCCTGCCACTTAAGACCAACTGGTACAAGGCGGCACCCCCAGCACAGGCTCTCGGAGTGGGAATCTAAATCAGCTCCCTGTCCGGTTCCTGCCACCAACTCTTTTTATTTATTTATCTATCTATTTTTTTTTTTTTAAGAGACGGGTCTTGCTATGTTGCTCAGGCTGGAATGCAGTGGCTATTCACAGGCTCGAACCCACTACCGCTCAGCACGGGAGTTTTGACCTGCTCCATTTCCAACCTCGGCAGGTTCACCTCTCCTTAGGCAACCTGGTCCCCCGCTCCCGGGAGGTCACCATATTGATGCCAAACTTAGTGAGGACACCTGATCAGCATAGCGCACTACAGTCCAGAACTCCAGGGCTCAAGCGATCCTCCCACCTGAGCCTCCCGAGTAGCTGGGACTACAGGCATGTGCCACCGTGCCCGGCTTTTCTTTTTTTTATTGTTGTTCTGACATTTTTTTCAACCACTGACTCTTTCAAGCCTTCTCCACTCCCCTCCACAACGGGCTCTGCCCTTTTCTGTGCTGTATCTTCAGACCCACCCTGCGTGTTCCAACCTCAGGGCCTTTGCATTTGCTGTTCCCTCGGCCTGACGTGCCTTTTCCTGACAGAGCCACGTGACTCACTCCTAGGGTGACTGGCCCAGTTTGCCCAGGACTGAAGGGTTTCTGGGGACATGGTACGTTCAGTCCACAGTGTCAACACTAAATATGGACCGTCCTGGGTAAACACTCTCTTAGCTCCTTCAAACCTTGATCCAAGGTCACCTCCTCAGCGAGATCTTCCCTGGCTATACTGTTTAAAACTGCAGGCCGGGCTCAGTGGCTCACATCTGTAATCCTTGCACTTTAGGAAGCTGAGGAGGGAGGATTGCTTGAGCCCAGGTGTTCGAGACCAGCCTAGGCAACTAGCAAGGCCCTGTCTTTTTTTTCTTATTCTTCTTTTTTTTTTTTTCTTTTTATACAGTCTCGCTCTGTCACCCGGCTGGAGTGCAGTGGCGCAATCTCAGCTCACTGCAGCCTCCACTTCCCAGGTTTAGGCGATTCTCCTGCCTCAGACTCCCAAGTAGCTGGGACTACAGGCATGTGCCCCCACATCAGAATAATTTCATTGTTGTTGTTGTTCTGTTTTGTTTTTTGAGAAGGAGTCTCATGCTGTCACCCAGGCTGGAGTATGGTGACTCAATCTCAGCTCACCACAACCTCCACCTCCTGGGTTCAAGCAATTCTCTGCCTCACTCTGCAGCAGCTGGGATTACAGGCATACCACCACCATGCCCAGCTAATTTTTGTAATTTTAGTAGAGACGAGGTTTCGCCATGTTGGCCAGGCTGGTCTTGAACTCCTGACCTCATGATCCACCGGCCTTGGCCTCCCAAAGTGCTGGGATTACAGGCGTGAGCCACCATTTCTGGCCCCAAAAAATAAAATAATAAAATGAAACTGCCCCTACTCCTGGGCCCCCTTCCCTCTTCCAGATGTCTTTTCTCTGTGGTACACACTCCCTTCTGACAGGTCATATACATTTTATTTTTGTTCACATTCTGTCTCTCCCACCAGGATGCAGAAACCTATGAGGGCCGGTCGAGGTTTCTTATTTTGTTTCTTCCCTAGTGCTACGGCGCCTGGCACATAGCACATGCTCCATAAATATCCTTTGAGTGAATTAATAAGTGAATGAATGAATGAGTGAATGTACTGAGGGACTGGTATGTGTCCGACCCTGTCCTCAGCAATTAGCTAATTTAATCCCTCTAACATTCTGCTGAACCTACAAGAAGGAGGTACCGCTGGCAGGGAGCAGTGGCTCATGCCTGTAATCCCTGCACTTTGGGAGGCTGAGATGGGCGGATCACCTGAGGTCCGGAGTTGGAGACCAGCCTGACCAACACGGTGAAACCCTATCTCTACTAAAAATACAAAATTAGCTGCGCATGGTAGTGCATGCCTGTAATCCCAGCTACTTGGGAGGCTGAGGCAAGAGAATCGCTTGAACCCGGGAGGTGGAGTTTGCAGTGAGCTGATATCGCATCATTGCACTCCAGCCTGGGCAACAAGAGTGAAAGCGTGTCTCAAAAAAAAAAAAAAAAGGAAGAAGGAGGAGGAGGAGGTACAGCTGAGAGTCCCATTTTACAAGCCAGGAGACTGAATGGAGGGATGACTGACGCCCACAGGGCGTCACCTGACACTGGACAGAGCCAGTGTTCGCTGCTGGACAGGCTGAGGCCCAAACTCACAAATGAACAAGAATTTCTAACAACTCCAAGTGTTGGCCCAGCACAGTGGCTCACATCTGTAATCCCAGCACTTTGGGAGGCCGAGGCAGGTGGATCATCTGGGATCAGGGGTTCAAGACCAGCCTCGCCAACATGGCAAAACCCCATCCTTACTAAAAGTTGAAAAAATTAGCCGGGCATGGTGTTGGGCGCCTGTAGTCCCAGCTACTTGGGAGGCTGAAGTAGGAGAATCGCTTGAACCCAGGAGGCGGAGGTTGCAGTGAGCCGAGATTACACCATTGCACTCCAGCCTGAGGAAAAAGGATAAAATTCCATCTGAAAAAAAAAAAATTCTCACAACTCTAAATTCTCTCCCTGCACCATCTTTAGGCCAGGTGCAGTGGCTCACGCCTGTAATCCCAGCACTTTGGGAGGTTGAGACGGACAGATCACTTAAGGTCAGGAGTTCAAGACCAGCCTGGTCAACATGGTGAAACCCTATCTCTACTAAAAATACAAAAATTAGCCGGGCATGATGGTACATGCCTGTAATCCCAGCTACTTTGGAGACTGAGGCAGGAGAATCACTTGAACCGGAGAGGCGGAGGTTGCAGTGAGCCAAGATCGTGCCACTGTACTCCAGCCTGAGCAACAGAGCGAGACTTCATCTCAAAAAAAAGAAAAAAAGAAAAGAAAAACCATGTTCTAATACGAGTATGAATGATGTGGGCATTGGCCAGCCCCTGGACTCCTCCTCAGGGAACCCCCCCCACTCTTGCCTCCTCTTACTCCCACCTGCCTTACAGCCCTCCCTCCCTCCCTCCCAGTGCTCACCCCGCCCCACCCTGCTGCATTTCTCCCTGTCTGTGCATCTGCCTGCGGTTTAATGTCCTTCCCCACCTGACACTGCAAACGTGAGACTTAGCAGGGCTGAGACACGGCTCTTGCCACCCTTACCCCAGCACCAGGCACACAGCTGGAGCTCAATAAATATTTTTCCCACACTCCCAGAGTGTCCTTCCCCCCACACCCCTCAAGGTCACTAAGTACCTGCTCTACATCAAGGACCCGCTGGGGGCCGGGCACAGTGGCACGTGCCTGTAATATCAGCACTTTGGGAGACAGAGCTGGGAGGATTGCTTCAGTCCAGAAGTTCAAGGCCAACCTGGGCAACATGCTGAGACCCCAGCTCTTCTTTTGCTGTCATTGTTAAGACAGAGTTTCACTCTGTCGCCCAGATTACAGTGCAATGGTGCGATCTTGGCTCACTGCAACCTCCGCCTCCCAGGTTCAAGTGATTATCCTGCCTCAGCCTCTCAAGTAGCTGGGATTACAGGTGTGAGCCACCTCGTGC